AAGAGACAAAAAAAAATTCAACCTGTTGCAGAGAGAAACATAACAGAGTAATAATAATAATTGTCCTAAATCAGTTTTCTTATTTTAAAAAAATTGAAGTGATTATTCAGTGGCCTGATAGCTTTAAAAAAAATAGGACAAAATAAATATCAGGCTAGATTTCCATAGCCAGATAAACTATTTGAATATGATGGAAAAATCAAACATTATCAGAGATACAAAAATCAAAAGTTAGTATACTATCCACAGGTGCAGAAGTTCAGTGAAAGTGCTTCAGCAGGAGGCAAGAGATTAATTCATCAGACTGCAGAAATTGGGAGAGGAGTAGAGTGTAATTTGTTCTTTTTCTTCATTCTTATCTGCAGCAAAGGTGTCTTTTGATTTTCTATCCTGCTTTAATTATGTAGAAAAAGTAATGGTAGGAACTGCCCATCAAAGGGGAGACCACTAATCCTAGGATAAATATTAGGTTAGATTTTCCATAAGCAGACCAGAGTCGACGATTTCATTTCAGGGAATTCCCTCGGCTCCAGCGGTTGAGACTCTGCATTCTCACTGCTGAGGTCCCGGGTTCAATTCCTGGTTGGGGGGCTAAGATCCCGCAAGCTGAGTGATGTGGCTAAAAAAAGGAGAGGGAGATTTCATTTCAAATAGTTGTATGTTAGAGTTAACAGAAGAAAGCACTGATTGAGCCACAAGCAAGTGAATCAGGGACAGAAGCTTGGCCAATACAGGCGACATGAGTGAGTGTGCTGCCCATGTGGATGGCTAGGCCTCAGTTACACCAGGGGTCACTTGAAGACCGCATAGACATGCCTCAGAGCTTTACTGCCTGCAAGATGAAGAATCTGAGGGATTTATCACTCTGCCTCTATCTGCCAACTACTGATGGCTGCCACCAGAGAAATTATATGGTTCATACATAGACTGAACATATTCTAGCAGCAAAAATAAGCCCTCATTGTAAGAGCTGGTACTCTACACAGACAAAATGATTGCCATGGGTTTGTAGCTAGGGTACCACTAGCCTGTACAAGAGGGTAATTCAAGATCGAAAAAAACTCATCTTCCTAGAGACCTAAACAAAAATTTTAAGTTATCAATATTAGAGTTGATTTAATTCCCATCTTTCTTATCCCTGTGCCATGTCTGTGTGTTCAGTGCAAACCCATAAAAGAGATAAAGACATTATTTGTCAGTCTCCTAACACATGCAGTAGCCTAATCTTTGGCTAGAATATTTAAAAGATGGAAAGGTGAAAAAGGAAAATGTTTTGTCCATAAATACAAAATAAAATTTTAGTAGAGACTGATGCTGGGAAAGTTTGAAGGCAGGAGGTGAAGGAGATGACAGAGGATGAGATGGTTGATGGCATCACTGACTCAATGGACATGAGTTTGAGAAAGCTCCAGGAGTCAGTGATGGACAGGGAAGCCTGGTGTGCTGCAGTCCATGGGGTCACAAACAGTTGGACACAACTGAGCGACTGAACTGAACTGAAATGATAGTTCAAGTCTCAACAGTCACAATAAATTAAATGGATTAAATCTGCTGTTCATGTACATAAATTACATCTTAATAAAATATGGGGGGAGGGTGACATGAGTTGCTGAAAAATACATCCATGTGCTCCTCAACATACCAAGCTATGTCCCTGTAGGCAGTTGAATTGTTTCTTCCCCAGATACGTGAGGAAAGAAAAGTTAGTTACCCTCATAGGACACCTGCTCCCCCAAGAGCAATGTATCTTTATAGTTTTCTCCTGGTTCCCATTTATTAGTCTCTAAATCTTATGATGACACCACACGGCATTATTTTTTTTTTAATGGCATTAGTTTTTAAAGGCTAGACTCCAAGCAGAGGCCATTTGTTCACCATTTATTCAGGTGAATGCTAATACATTTTAGTCAACACATTGGCCTTTCCTTAAGCTATTTATAGAGAGTCTTTAGAGACAGCAGGGGAAATGCCCTATGGTAAAAATTGTATTCATTCTTGTTGAAAGGAAGAGGTCTAAGGTCTTTTATAGACCAACTCTCATTTGCTCTTTATAGGCAAAATACTGCAAAGTATGTGGGAGTGACAATTTTAATATTTCTTTTTTAAATATCATAAATAAAAAGGCTGAACTTGGCAGAAGGTAAAGAACTCTTCCAAATACTCAGAACAACCCAGTAGATGTGAGACTTGAAGTCAAGCTTCCTAGCTCTATATAATTATCTTTTCTTCATTTCTTTATGATTCAGGGACATTGGAACTTTGAAGCAGATCGTGAGAGACAAAATCCCCAAATAATTTTGAGGATGATTTCTGACTTCAGATTCATATTTCAAGATTGCCTTTTAATTTTCTCAAAGAACACAGTAAGCTCCTATATTCAATATTCATTTTTAGTGAAAAATGCAATTCATGCAGAAGCAGTCACATATTTTATGAGTTTCTGAGCTCATATCTGGCTCTTTGAATACTTTTCTGAAATCATCATATGGATCTAGTATTTAAATGTAAAAATATTTCAGTCAGGAGGTAGTACAGTAATATTTAGGATATGTCAAGCTGCTTTCCTTCAGAGACTGAGCAAAAACCTAGATTAAATGATGCTCTGATTCATAAACGCATGTTGTCATAAACGCATGGTCATAAATGCATGTTGTTTTTCTATGCCATGGGCTCCTCCAGGGGATCTTAGGAGCTTATATGGACATGGATATGAATATGTATGCACAAACTCTCCTTCTCCTGTCTAATCGCCTATCTCTCTATCCATCCATCCATCCATTCATCACCCAGTCATCCATCCATCCATCCTCTATATTTCTATCTATCTGCCTGCCCACTTGTCTGTCTTGTCTGATTTCTGTCTAGCTGAGAGATAAACTAGCACATAAGCATTATGTCAGAGCTGTCACTAATCCCCATAAATGTGATTTGGGAATGGATTCATTCTACATGTATGACTTTGGACAAGTTAGTACTTCTTTTTGCATTTCTTTTGATTAATAGACACAACTAGGAATTTGGCCACATGATCTATGAAGACACCTCAGATTCAATAATCTCTAATTCTATAGATAATTTATCTATTATATACTTTTTTCATTCCCATTGTAGCAGTCTAAATAATGGCTTCCAAATATGTCCACATTCTAATACTAGAATGTGTGTTTATGTTCTCTAATGTGGTGACAAGTATTGTGTGCATGTGACTAAATTAAGAATTTTTATTTTACTGGATTGTCCATTTGGGCCCAATAGGAATTTACCTGTCCTCATAAAATATAGCAAATGCTAGACAAGAAATTATAGCTTATACTACGATTTGAGTGATATGTTTATATACAAATACAGTCAATTCAGACACATGAAGGAATGTGTGGAAGGGCCAGGTAGAAAATGGTAACAAGTAGTAGTTACCAGAAAATGTATGCCCTCTCAAAGACTTAATGTACAAACTAATTGACTTAAAACATTTGTCTTGCTCTTGAACAATCTGCAGGGTTAAAGGCAATGCCACAGACATGAATTTTCAACCCTCAGTATCTGCAGTCCAGCTAAAAGTTGACAGTAATGACTCTAAGAATGAGTCTAAGATAGGAGTCATTCAACACAAGCTAAAATGCGTATCAAACTAAAAAAAGTACTTAAACAAAACAAGTCTTGCAGATCCCTGTCTTCTTGCATACAGTAGTTGGCAAAGCCAATAACATAAGACAAGAAGACAGAGTGGGAAACACTGTGGGAAAAAAAGAAAGAAAGAAAGAAAGAAAGGTCCAAGTGCACACAGTGCATGAAAAAAGTAGAAATCAAAAAATAAAACTACAATACTTAAAAACCCATCCACGCCTTAAAGCCCTGCATGTTGTCACCAACCTTTTCTAAATAGGCTCCATCATTCTATCTTAATTATAAGATTATAGATAGCACTCATCAAGATGGCACTGAACACCCACACTGTGTGAACTGCTTGTCATGATTATTTTATTTAACGCTCACAAGAATTCTGAAGTAGGTTCCAATATCACCTTCATTTTATTGATCGATAAAAGGAGCTTCAGGAAACTCGGTTTAGGACAGAGGTCTCCCAGGTAGTCAACGGCAGGGTTTATAGGGAGTGCATGCGCCTGTCTCCTCGGAACTCAGTATCTTACCCCAGTTCCATCCCCTCCCTTCAGACCTGATTTGGCTGGTGGTATTTGTCTCTAATGCTGCATGCATCTCACTGCATCTATACATATATCTGTGACTTACTCTACTGTGTCATCCCAAGCATAAAACTTGGTAGAATGGATACCATAATCAAATGTAAATTGAATAAAATTAAAACTAATTCAAATTCATTAATGTCATTTACTTTGGAAACCATTCTGATGACTCTAAAGCATTGCTCTCTTAATAGCCATGTAAACTTGAATAAATTACTCAATCTCTCTGTTGCCAAGTTACTAATATATAAATAGTCATAACAACTATCAATTTAATAAGAATAATGAGAGTATTAAATAAATACACATGAGCACTATAAAAGCATAAGCTCTTGGGCTGCTAATTCACTTCAGTCGTGTCCGACTCTTTGCGACCCCATGGACTGTATCCTGCCAGGCTCCCCATCCATGGACTTCTCCAGGTGAGGATACTGGACTGGGTTGCCATGCCCTCCTCCAGGGGATCTTCTGCCCCCAGAGATCCAAGTGGCATCTCTTACCTCTTCTGCATTGGCAGGCAGGTTCTTTACCACTAGCTCGACCTCTTGGAAGACTCAAAAATCTGATTTAGAGATCAATGCACTCCAGGCATATAACCCTCCAAGCTCATCACCCCTTCCTGTAACTCAGATTTTTCATATAGGAAATTTACATGTTGGAAAGGTGTCCATGAAGAATCTTCTCTGTGAATTCTATTATAATAATATGAAGTTTGTGCATTTCAATTTCTGTGCAGCTCTTCTTTCTGCATCACCCTCTCCCTTATTTTCCTTACGAGAGCATCTTGTGATTCTTAAATCCATGAAGAATAGCACCGAGGTAACCGATTTCATCCTGCTCGGACTCACAGCTGACCCACAGCTGCAGGTTCCTCTCTCCGTAATCTTCACCTTCACTTACCTCCTCACTCTGCTTGGGAACCTGGGGATGACCACGTTGATCCTGCTGGACTCTCGTCTCCACACACCCATGTACTTTTTCCTCTGTAACCTGTCTCTGGTGGACTTTTGTTACTCGTCCACCATCACTCCAAAGGTGATGGCTGGGCTCCTGAAAGCAGACAAAGTCATCTCCTACCATGCGTGTGCCGCCCAGATGTTCTTTTTCGTCGTCTTTGCCACTGTGGAAAGTTATCTCTTGGCCTCGATGGCTTATGACCGCTACGCAGCAGTGTGCAAGCCCCTGCATTACACCACCGCCATGACCACAAACAGGTGTGCTTGTCTTGTCGTAGGCTCTTATGCCTGTGGTGTTCTGAATGCTTCTGTCAACACTGGAGACACGTTCAGTCTCTCTTTCTGTGGGTCCAATGTGATCCATCACTTTTTCTGTGATGTTCCAGCAGTCATGACTCTCTCTTGCTCTGAGAAACGCATCAGTGAAATGATTCTTGTTCTTGTCTCAAGCTTCAATGTCTTGCTTGCACTTTCTGTAATCCTGATTTCCTACCTGTTCATATGTATGACAGTTTTGAGGGTGCGCTCACAAGAGGGGTGCCAGAAGGCTTTGTCTACCTGCGCTTCTCACCTCACTACTGTTTCCATATTTTACGGGACTGTCATTGTCATGTACATACAGCCCAGCTCCAGCCACTCCATGGACACAGACAAAATCGCATCTGTGTTCTATACGATGCTCATCCCCATGCTGAACCCGGTGGTCTACAGCCTACGGAACAGAGAAGTCAAGAGTGCGTTCAACAAAGCTGCTGAGAAGGTGAAAGTTTCTCTAGATGTTCTCTTGCTGTAGAATCTACAAAAGCTATTTTACCCCTTTTGAATCTGCCCCATGCAATGATAACGGCCATGGGGAGGGAGTTGGGAGGGGGATTCAGGACAGGAAACACATGTGCACCCATGGCTGATTCATGTCGATGTACAGCAAAAACCACTACAATATTGTAAAGTAAGTAGCCTCCAATTACAATAAATTAATCAATTTTAAAAATTAAAAAAAAATGATAGTGGCCATCTGGGACAGAAAGATACAGATTTTGTCTCATATTTTTTCTCTCTTTAGTTGAGGAATAGTCCCAACCATTTAAAATGCAGGCAAAATGTAATAATGGTTTTTAATGAAATATGTGTTTTTTACTTGAATGGAAAATCTCTTTGAGCAGTAGCTTAACCTGGTTATTGCACTGGAAATAAAGCTTTGAAACTTGATTTTTAAATTATTTTAATGAGCGTTATGACAGCTCCAGAAATTCCAAATTATATTAAAAAAAAAAGCAAGCTGCAAAAACTTTAGGGGAGAATTCACCAACATCCAGTTGACAATGACCCCAATTTCTTGCATCTGCTAACATCTAATAATCCCTGTTCTTTTGAAATTCTTCAAACTGCTTGCTCACTTGCAGCCAACCAATCTCTGACAAATGTACCTGAAGACCTCTCCCACTTCTAAAAAATCGTATCCTAATAAACCGCTTGTAAATCATACACTGACTCAGTATTTATTCATTTTACTCCACAAGTTGTGTGGCACGGCCAAAAAAACCCATGGATTTATTTCTGACAGTTCTGGAGGCCAAATGTCAAGGGTCAGGTTCATTGGGGTGAAATTATGGTGTGTCTGCAGAGTTTCCCGGAGAAGGCGATGGCACCCCAGTCCAGAACCCCTGCCTGGAGAACCCCATGGACGGAGGAGCCTGGTGAAGAGTCGGACACGACTGAGCGACTTCACTTTCACTTTTGACTTTCATGCATTGGAGAAGGAAATGGCAGCCCACTCCAGTGCTCTTGCCTGGAGAATCCCAGGGGCGGGGGAGCCTGGTGGGCTGCGGTCTCTGGGGTCGCACAGAGTCGGACACGACTGAAGCGACTCAGCAGCAGCATCTTACCTACTCCCGGCCCAGCTCCAGTCATTCCGTCGACGCAGACAAAATGGCGCCCACGTTCTGTACGACGGTCATCCCCAGGCTGACTCCCGCGGTCTGCAGCCTAAGAAACCAAGAAGTCAAGAGCGCTTTTAAGAAACCTGTTGAGAAGGCAAAATTGTCTCTACGTCTAAAGGTGTAGAATCGACAATAACCTGCATAATTTCTGTCAGATCATCGCATTAAATCATATTTTACTGCTCACACTACATGAAAATTACGGAGATAATACCTTTCTTCTCAAAACCTGTCACTTAGAAAAAAGAAAATAATGTGTCCAGATAAATAATATCTGAATGAGGATGGCGAAAGGAGACCTTGAGGTTTTTTAGATCTTGTTTGTCAAATTTTATTAATTATCCTTCATTTATTCATATGGTCGTATTTTCTCCACCATATTCTATGCAAGTGTATTTATAAGAGAGGGGTCAAACTCATCAAAAGAAGCACATGAAAGGATCTTGTGTGTACACATACACACAGGTGTGAGAAATTTGGTAAAGGAGTCAAATGGACGATAGCTAGGTTATAGTTAAAAATAATTATGCTATCAGAATATAAATTTAGCATTTTTCACTTCTCTAGCCTAAAAGGCTAGTGGAATTCTAAAATGAAGAAAAACATGATATAGTTTTTTTTTTTTAATAAAGATATACATTTTGGCTCTTTTTTGTTGTGTTTTTTCTTAACTGAAGTAGAGTTGATTTACAATATTAATTATATTGCCTTCAGGTGTATGGCACAGTGATTAGTATTTTTTCAGAGCTATGCTAGTACAGCATCATAAAGGAGTTCATATTTCTGCCTTCAGTAAGTCATTTGGTAGAAAAAGTATGGTCACATTACAATTTTCAAAAGCAAGAAAACCAGAGAGCACACACTAAATATAACTTTATACTGAAGTCTCTGATATAACCCACTTTATTTCAGCCTTCTCTCTTATTTGTCTGACCAACTTTTTTTTATGTATTTGTTCAACTCTAGTATCAGGTAAAGTCATTCCAAGATTGTCAACTGGTACCCAACTCAGTCTTGTCATAGAGTTCCTTTTGCTTTTAGACTATGGGGTTGACAATTTCCAGTTAATACATTTTTTTGACATTAGCTAAATCTTTTTTTCCCCTCCCCTTTCAGGGACTTAGATTCTTTTGTAATAGTCTTCCTTCTATCCTGGGGTTTTCCAACCTCCAAATTGATTCCATTTGTTTGTTTGTAACATTAACAGGTCACTCTTCATGACAAGCAGTTCTACGGGCCTTGATGAATGCACACATTCATGTATCTGCCATCTTGAAAACATACAGAATAATTTCATCACTCAAAAATTCCCATAGTGTCCCTTTTATAGACAATAGCTCCCTGTTCCCCTGGCCCCTGATTACCACTGCATTATTTTCCATCTCTACAGTTTTGCCTTTTTCAAAATGTCATACAAATAGAATCTGATAATGTGAAGTGTTTTGGTCTCTTTTTCTTATCAAAAGTGAAAGTGAAAGCTGCTCAGTCGTGTCCAACTCTTTGTGATCCCATGGATTATACACGGAATTCTCCAGGCCAGAATACTGGAATGGGTGGCCTTTCCCTTCTCCAGGGGGTCTTCCCAACCCAGGGATCGAACCCAGGTCTCCCACATTGCAGGCAGATTCTTTACCAGCTTAGCCACAAAGAAAAACACTTTAAAATCATCTATGTTTTGTAGAAATCAATAGCTCACCTCTTTTTTATTACTGGATAGTATTCCAGTTATATCTATAAATACTAGAGTTTGTTTAGCCATTCACCTTTACGAGTATATCTGTTTGCTTCTAGTTTGGGTGAATCTCAGTAAAGCTGCAATAAACACTGACAAACAGGATTTCGTGAAACATAAGTTTTCAGTTCACTATGGTAAATACTTAAAGAGTGCAAGCACTGGATCATATGGTAAATCCATACATAATGTTATAAGAAATTGCCAAACTGTCCTGAAAAGTGATTGTACCTTTTTGCATTAACATAGCAAATCAATGAGTGAGGTTCAAATCTTTACTAGTATTTAACACTATCAGGATTTTTTTTGCCATTTTAACAAATTCAGAGTAGTATATCTTTCTGGTTTCAGTATTTATTTTCTTAATGAAAAATTCTATTGAGCACAATTATGTGTACTTCTCATCTGTATATATTCTCTTGTAAAGGTTCAGATCCTTCACGCATTTTTAATTGAGTTGGTTTTTTTTTATTTTGCCTTTAAAGGACACTCTATATATTCTATAAAACAAATTCTTTATACAGTGACATCAACAAGATAAGAGAGTACATTTATCCTCCCAAGTAAAACAACAGTTACATTGATAACTGCAGACAGGAATAGCTCTGGGAGGGCTCAGGAGTCCAGTTAGGAATCTGCAGTAACACAGTGAAGGATGAAAAAGGGAGAATAAGTACAGAGAAAAGGTCACTGTGGGAGATCGGCGGAGATGAGGCGTCTGGCTGGGAACAGAGCGGAGTGTCGGTGTCAGGGTGGGTCACAGGCTGAGTGCCGCCGGCTGCAGGGCCCACCGTGAGGACCCCACGCAACCTCTGCCACTGAGGGTCTCAGCGGTGACACTACCACTCCCCACAGCTTTTGCAATGGGGACCCCCGTGAACCCCACAGTGTTCATTAATGCAGATTCCACAGAGGACTCCTACCACTTAAGCCACTGAGGTAACCAACAGCTGCAGACTCTGGAGAGGGAGACACTGACCTCACCCCCGGACCCTCCCCCAGGGGAAGAGCCACGGCTGGACTGCTCTGAGCCCTGGGCTCACGGCCTCCTCCAGCCCTCCGCTTGCCGTGGACCCTGGAGCCAACCCTTCTCGGAACACTGGTTCTGGGGCAATTCTCCTTGTGTCTGCACTCAAGATTCTGGCTCCATGGCTGCTCTGCACACACCACACTTCGGTCACCAGGACCACTGTGAGTGCAGGCTAGCCTGCACCCAGGACTGCAGGATGTGAGCTCTGCACACCCAGGCCCAAGTACACAGCCACTCAGGGAGCGCCCGCATCAAAGACGTTCAGAAATGTCATTGCACCGGCAACGTCCCCACTCATACAGAGCTCTGGGCACAGCCCTGAATGAGTAGACCTCAAGTGTTCTCAGGCTACGAAATCAATGGTAACTCTGGGAGGTGATAAATATGCTAATTATCTTATGGTAATAATTTCACAATTTTACACCTATATAAACATTACATAGTACACCTAAAATAGACTGAATTTTTATCATTCACCCTCAATAAAGCTGGAAAAAATGTAAATAATCATTTATATGTAAATTGAAAATATTATATGCAAAGAAATGTGATTTGCAAATATTTTCTCCCAGCCTATGCTTTCTTTTATAGAACAAAAATTCTAATTTTGATAAGTAAAATTGGTCACTTTGCTCTTTCATAGACCATCCTTTAGATGGTTAAGAATCTGCCTGTCATGCGGGAGACTTGGGTTCAGTCCCTTGGTTGGGAAGATCCCCTGGAGGAAGCCATGGCAACCCACTCCAGGATGCTTACCTGGAGAATCCCCGTGGACAGCGGAGCCTGGGGTCCACGGGGTCGCAAAGAGTTGGACACGACTGAGCAACTAAGCACACAGCACAGCTCTAACAAATTCAATGCCAAGCTCAAAAATTTCCCATGTTCTTCTGTATTTATTGTAAAAGTTCTATAATTTTATGTTCCACATTTAAGTGGTATCCATCTTGAATTAATTATTGTTTTAGATATCAGGTACACTTTGAAGTTCATTTGTTTTTGTATATAGACATCAACTATTGCTGGACTGTTTGCTAAAAAGAATATCACTTTTCCTTTTAATTGCTATGGCAAAGACTAGTTTGCTATATTGT